CCCCCCCCCCCCCCAGTACCTCCTATACCACCCCCATACCCCCCTATATCCCCCTATACACCCCTCCCCCAACCCCCCATCCCCAAAAATTTATCAGCGGATTTGGGCTGTACTCAGCAAGCACAGTACAGCTTCCAACTCAGATCTGAAAAAAAAATAGTGGATGGTTGTTTTCTGACTGGTCGGCAGACCGCCGACCGGTCGGCCCTACTGCTCTACTGCAATATGGTCGGTGGTCCGGGGCGGCGGTCGGCAGGGATGCAACCATGCCGCCCAGGTATCCCGCGCAGGTGTTGCCTGGGTCGCCCCGCCGGGTGGGTCCAGCCAGGCGAACCTGGTAACAACAGTATTAAGGCCAATTCTTTGTTCTTTTTTAAACTTTTTTTTCCTTCTTGTTTTGTTTCTTTCTAAGATTAGTGCCCTGCCAGCATATTCCATGTTCTAGCTTTTTGTTTTACAGAGAACTTTTCCCGTTTTTCCCGATTTTGATATCATAGCTTTTATGAACTACTGGAGCACGCAGCGCGTTTTCACAAGCCGCCTTTCCCCGTCTGTATCCTGAGCCTGAACTATGCATGGCAGATTTTTTTGGGTCCACCTGCCCTTTCCCGCCAAGCCCCTACTGAGCCTTCACTGTAAATTTAGCTACGGTGAGGGTTCACTCAAAAACAATCTCAGGGCGGATGGAGTGGTGATTTTAAACCACAAGTACATGGGCCCAGCCTCGCCGAAAATGAACTCATCCGAAAATTGCGCGCCTCCGGCCACAACGGCTTGCAGCGCCAACCAAATAAGAAAACCAGTGCGCCGCCGGCGGTTCAGCAAAGCATGGCACAGTGGAGCACCTCCAGGCCCAGGTGTGCTGCTGGTTTAAGAGGGTAGGGCGAAGGGTAGAGTATATGATGCGCAATGGGATAGATAGCGTCGGAAAGTGCACTGGGTATTTAAACAAAGGATAGAAATTAGACTATTAGTTGGTAGAGGATGGTCAGAGGAGAATATAGAGGGCAGACTATAGGATAAGACAGAGAACATTTGACACAGGATTCGACAGCGAGGGTTAGAAAAGAGGATAGACAAATTGCAAGCCAAGGAGTAAGGTAGACCAGAGAGAGTTTTACAGAAAATTGCAGGATAGTCGACGCTGCGATGACCAAATAATCCATTTCTTTCCGTCTTCATAGGGCTCTCCTACATGTATCTGACTGCAATTACGGCAGGTCCTGCACAGGTCTGACTGTAACTGCTTCCAAAGACCATTAAAAAAAAGTCGTAGTGCGAGCTGACCTTCGAACCACTGGTAGCATGGCTGCCACACTATGCTGTACGCAGCACCATACAGCTAGTTCACCATCAGGCCAGACTATAAGGGAAAGGTTGGAACGTAGGTGACGGCGAGCAATTAAATACTAAGAAGGCGGCAGCAATTAAATGAAATCAAGCCTATTTTGGACCACCGCAATGACCTGAGCCATGGGTAGAGTTCTGTGGCTCGAACAGCAGACCAACGGTTCGGAGTCTTTGGACGGAACAGATACAACCCCTCATCCTCCTTCCCCCCCCCCCTTCTCTCTCTCTCTCTCTCTCTCTCTCTCTCTCTCTCTCTCTCTCTCTCTCTCTCTCTCTCTCTCTCTATCTCTGCTCACGTCTCTTAAGAAGTATTCGACTTGACTCATGTAGCTCTTATGGATTCGAACTCAGGTCTGTTTGCAACAGGTAATTGGTGTACCAACTCCACTACGCACGTTCTCTCTATTTCCACATTGAATGATTGAACGGGAATGCTGACGAGTTTCCCAGACTCTGTCAGCTACAGTCCTCCCGGGAGATGAAGGGAGCCCTCCACTGTTTGTTATGCCTGTACTGTATTCTAGCAATTTTGGTTGGGGAGGAAGTGGATGTCAAGAAGGCAGCAGGCAGTGGGAGGCTGTGGAATGAAGGGCGTGAGGGGGTGGTGAGGGAGGGAGGGTGCTTTGATTCTCTCTTGGTTCTTCATTCCTTTGAGAAGGTCCCATTAATTAATTTGTTCATGTATGGCTCTGGGCAAAAGTGACTGGATTCAAACCTTGAGAACGAAGAGCCCCGTATGGAATCGATACGGATCAATGAACACCGCACAAAACTCTCCACAGAGGAAAAGCTCGTCCGTGTTCTGAAGAAACAGATCGTCCGAGTCTAGCATAACAATGCGGTCGTACTTGACGAGGCCCCAAGCCCACAGCTTATTCAACACATGAACAAATCGCTTGCTGAATGTAGGGTCTGTATCGTGGTACGGGCTTGGTACATTCGGCACAATGACAACTTGGACCCCATCCTCGTAACGTCTGTACCCCCAAAACTCACGCACACAACGGCATCATACATCGCCCCAACCCGAAGCACAAGGAAGCCAAAAATCGCAAGAGAACAAAAGTATCATTGTCAAGCTATAAATCGATGACAAAACTTCGATAATTGTTTCGACTGGAAAAAAACAGATTTGGACTAAATGAATCCCCAGAGGATCACGACGAAATAGAACTGCATGTCAGTATTCGTCAGCAGGATTTAGATGACATAAAAAAAAAAAAAAAGAAGGTACAATTTATAAATATATAACTCGAAGATAAAATTGATAATCATTTATGAAAGCTGGCGGAGAAACGTAGCAACACTGTGAATATCCAATGCCTTCCACAAAGGTTTTCCGTCTCGACTCTCGAGGATGTTTCACTTCTCGCCCACACCGCAAAGAAGACCGAGACCGCAATGTGAGGTAGAAACAATAGCATGTGGCACGTGGCCTGTGGCTCAATGGTTATGGCACCCGTTGCCAATGCGCATTGTGGTCTGAGGCCATCGCCACACCACTGTCCAAATGTGCCAAATGAGAATGAACTTCCCGGTAGAACATGGCCAGGTGCACCGGCCACATTTTTGTCTTTCTCACATTTCCAGAGTGGCCCTGAGGGTGTGGATTCAAAACTCCATACCTTCGCGCAGAGACGTCGGACGGCGTTTACACGACGCACGGTCACTTGCATCATACCCCCTTGGGCTGACGCAGGTAAGCTATTAGCCTATTACAGACACTGCTTGCGCCACCACCCAAGGGTTGCCCATGGTGTTGTATGTCGGGGTCTCGATGCTGTGTGGGTTGCTTGTTGCTGTTGGTCGTGGTGGTTCTGTTCATCTCCCCAGTCTGGCATATCACACATCGGTGCCGTTCGTTATAATTGCTCATATGGTAGTCTTCCGGTCACATGCATGACTGAATATTTTGTTTTGTTTTTCAACTTCTGCCTTTTGCCTCCTATGGTCACATGTCGTAAATAACGGGTTCAAAGGGAAAAAAAAAAAAAAAAAAAAGAAAGAAACGATAGTATGTGATACATTGAAGAAGAGCAAATGGACTGCAAGTTGACCTGGTTCAGTCGTGCATGTGGTGCACAGACACCATAAGAGGCAAATAGCACAAGTTGAAAAAAAAAAAAAAAAACATTCAGTCATGCATGTGGTGTGCACCGACACCATAGGAGGCAAAAGGCACAAGTCACCAAAAAAAAAAAAAAAAAAAAAAAANAAAAAAAAAAAAAAAAAAAAAAAAACCTGCCAAAAGAAAGGAAAGGAAGAAGCAAAAACAAAGTGTCACCTGCCAGATGGCAGGCAGGCAGGAGAGAGCAGAAAAAGGATCTGGATCCCGTTGAGACACAGACACGTGCCTCGTTTTTGGCGAGGGAAGGTCTCCGGAAACGAAAGTCAGGCGCCTGTTTCAATTGGCGCCAGCTCAGTTGGAGTTGCTTTTTTTTTTTCTCTTCTTCTTTCCTTTGTTTATTGTACTGCATCTGCACCCGTTTTCAGGATAGGTACGGGCGCAGTCTCAGTAGAGACTGCCTGCCTTGTTGGCAGGGCTTACAGAAACAAGGAAAGAAAAGAACAGAAAAAACAACCTACTTACCTTTCCCAGCGGGTGCCAGCAGCTAGTGCTCAAAAAGAGTCAGCATCTGGCACTGGAATAACGCCAGATACAGACGCGAGAAGGCAAGAGAGTTTCTGTGGGGGCTGTTTGCCCCCACATGACATGGGGACTGTTTGCCCCCACAAGACATGGGGGCTGTTTGCCCCCAAAGGACAGGAGCTCCATGGTGAACGGCACCAGGTAATTCATCTAATTGCATCTGGAGCCGAACTTCTGTCTGTATTTCAAGAGTTCATTCATGGGTGCACCGACTGAGCTCGGTCCATTGGTTGGACACAAGCACCATCATCATCATTGGCGTTGCAAAACCGAAAACAAAAAGAGAGAAAAAGAAAAAAGAAAACAGTGTCACTATTGATTGGAATACCTTGTATCTGGCGCTCAAAATCAGCCAGATACAGGGGCTGGCTTTGTGGAGAGTTTGGGTGATGTTGCACAGGAGTGAAACGACGGCCTCCTTTTTGATCCATGTGCTAGTGGCACGTCCATGTGATGCATGCCTGGAGTGAACCGTCAGCAATGCGAGTCCAATCGATCACCAATGGGAGGAAGAGATGTAATGTGACAGAGTGGAAGACTCAAATCAGATATGGAAGGGGAAGGCCTAGCAATGTAGCACATGACAATGTGGCTCAGATCTGATCTCATATCAAGTCGGGAGGGGTCCACGCATAGGAGAACGTCCCCGCTGAAATCATGCATGAAGAAGAAGAAGAAGAAGAAGACGATGACGAAGAAGGAGAAGAGGAAGAGGAAGAGGACAAGGAAGAACAAGAAGAGGAAAAGGATGAAGAAGAGGACGACAACGACGACGACGACGACGGCAAAGAAGAAGACGAAGAAGAAGAAGAAGAAGAAGAAGAAGAAGAAGTCTCTCTCTCTCATGATACCGAAGTAGAACCCTCTGCCTCTCTCTCTCATGATACCGAACAATAACAGGCAGAGCCTTGAGCCACTAATGTACTGCAGGAATCCCAAAGAGGATGAAGACCAGCAGCAACCTCCATGGATATGGCACAAGGCAAGTGGATTCCACCTCACCTCTCAACCCCCTCTCCCTCCCACACCGCTAACGGCTGCAGTGCAGAGATCTCCAAGAAGAAGAAGAAGAAGAAGAAGAAGAAGAAGAAGAAGACCAACCATTGCCAGAACAAGCCACGCCGTCAAATGCAGGGGATGATTAAGTCAGGCAACAGACAAGTTAGACCACCAGTACCTCGCCCAGCTATATTTGTCCAACGCGGAGCGTTAACGGCCGCGTCGAACGGGAGGTCGTTGCAGTGAATGGCCGGTCGCAGCAGAAATGGGTGTAGAACGCGGGGCAAAAAGAAAAGAAAAAAAAGATGAATTTGTTAGACTTCCTGAATGTCGCAGAGAATGTCGAGCAGGCCGTGCTCACAGATGCTCTTAGTAGAATGAATGGGCTACTATACTGGAGAGATGCATAACGTTCTTGTTTTTCTTTTTCCTCTTTTCCTCTTCTTCTGTTTTAGTGCCCTGCCAGCACGCAGGGTGTATCCCATGATACACTCCAAGAAAGTCGTTGAGGGCAAACACACCAACCAATTTAGGTCGAAAGCGTTTTTTTCCTTTTCTTTTTCAACTTTCAAGATTCTGACTGCAAAGAGACTTTTCTTTTCTCCTTCTGTGTACTTTTGCTTTTTAGATTCCGTCTTCTTTTTAGATTTTGTCTTTTTTTCTTTCTTTTTAGAATTTTTTTTCTTTTGCTTTTCAGATTCTGATACACCCACACCAAGTGTGTGCTCACACAAACATGTTGGAGAATGTGTCCAACTGCATTCACGTCCCTAGTGTTGTTGTTGTTGTTTTTTTTGTTTTTTTTTTCCCTACTGGTTCTTCCACGCTTGGGTTGTCCAGCTACTGGTACCTCCAGGCTTGGCAGGCTCGGCATACCGGTCGCCTGAGGGTCGAAATGCATAGCTGGGCAAGGTACTGGTGGTGGTTTAAGGCCTTGTCCCGAAAAGGAAACCTGGGGCGAGCACCCACTAGCGCCGTATTATACCGTGGGACGGTGGTGTGTGACACCATTTTGGCATTTGAAAAATGGTTTCTGTATTTTTTCAGATTTAAAAAACTCGCTTTCTGCTTAGGGCGCTCCTGTCAGCCAATAGGCTGTGAGCCATGGAATTTGTCACCGCTTTTTCTGGGTGTGAGGCATGGAATTCGTCACCGCTTTTTCTGGGTGTGTGTTGCACTCAGCCAATGGGCTGGGCCTCTGAGGGTCGCTGCTCTCAGGTCCTGACTTTGTTTTTTTTTTGGTCGGCCTTTTTCTGCACGCGAAGCTCTGTAGCAAGGTCACAATATTGCCCCCCCAAAAGTCTGGAAAACACGACGCTGCTACAGTGATTTTGAAATAAAAGAAAAAGGAACAAATGGTGAAAGTGTGTAGGGTACACAGCCAAAACTTTTTCTCTTTTTCTGAATCTGTTAAACCACCAGTACTTGGCCCAGCTATCGGCCGCGGCGCTTTCCGCGCCTTTAGGGCTTCGGGGTACCGGACCACAATGGCTGGAAGTGCCAGCCAAACGAAAATCAAAACAGTACCCCGGCGCTTCGGCAAAAATTGGCGCGCAGGGGCATTCCAGGCTCGGCATCGATTGCTGGGCCAAGTACTGGTGGTTTAAAAACTCAGAATGCCGCACGATTTCCCCTCCATCGATGGCGTGTGGTAATCCAACTCTGTCGCACGTGATTGAAAACCGTGCGTACACAGTACAATACGGCACTAGTGGGTCCTGGCCCCTGGGAGGGAATTATCTAACACAACAGACTAGTTGAGGGCTTGTCCCAGAAAGGAAACCTAGGAACGAACGAGAAAAAAGAATACAATGCCAAGATCATACACATTGCCTCCCCAAAAAAAAAAAAAAAAAAAAACGGACTCTATAAAGGGGCAAAGACAGATCAGTTCCTCTGAATATGGTGTGAAATTCACACACTGGTCACTTACATGACGTCGCTGAACCACCAGTCCACAGTGCACATGGTCATTTTCTTTCAGGGAGGTACCAGTACCAGCCTACATTGAAACTGAAGTGCTGTACCTTGTGCCAGCAGGGGCCTCGTCCCACTAGCAGGCGTTGATTGAAAAGAATAGTGCTGTGTCACATGCTTTATAGCATTAAAAATTTATTAAAAAAGCAAAAGAAATGCTACAAAAAGCTTTTGTTTGTACCTATTTTCAAAATACATCTGACGGAAGACTGACGAAGTGTCAGTGAAACACGCCGTGAGTTGTTACTGTGGGGGATTAGTTGTAGTGGGGGTAGGTAGCAGCCTTCGAGCTGCTGGCTCTAGGAAAGACCTGCAGGCTATGGGGCTCGTTAGACACTCCTCGGGCGCGTA